AAGGGTACTGTTGGCAGTGGAAACGCAAGCTGGATCAGGGTGTTCGGTCCCAAATCGTACCATATTGTACTGTACTGACCCGTACCGCTCGATGGAAACGAGCCAATGTATGCTCCTTACTTTACCTGTGGGCAAGTGGCCCACTGATTGGGTTCAGCCAATGAATGGTGATGGAATCTGCATCTTGACCAATCACCACTGGTGCAAGAGGAACAGGGGTGGGCTTTCTGCCATGGACCCAGGTTTTGTAGACCAAATCAATATAGCAGTGCATCCGAGCTACTTGATTGGGTGTAAAATGGTTTGTACAGTCATCATCTGTAATAAAAAGGTACCCTTCCATTAAAGAAAGAAAAACCCACAATGGTCCCTGAAATAACTTGAAACTGACAAAATAATAATAATAAAAAATACTGAAAATTATATTAATGAAAATCAGACACTGCTTTTGAATTGTGGTTCAACAGAAGCATTTAAAAAAACAAACTATTGAAACTGGAAAAGCCCTAGAAACCCTAAAAACAAAAGATTGAAAATAATTTGACCATAGGGATATGTTAAACTAATTTGTTAAACTAAAGTGTGTCCTGTAATTAGCATCACAGGTGTCTTCACACTTGTAATCAGGCAGTCTACTTATACAGTATATGGCTTATATATTAATCACTGACTTTTTTCTATTAAAGAAATTGCTACTTTTATTCAGTAAGGATGCATTAAACTGATCAAAAATGACAGTAAATAAAGGTAAAGAGATTTCTGTTTTAAATAAATGCTGTTCTTATTACAGGGATATTACTGTTCTCTCATTACAGGAATAAATTACATTATAAACATATTAAAATCGAGAACTTTTTTTTTTTTTTTACAATGTCACATTGTCTTTTTGATCAAAAATGCAGCCTTGGTGAACACAAGAATTCTTTCAAAAACATTAAAAAAAATCATACTGATTTACACTACAAGCATTTAGGTATAACCTGTACCAATAAGTGGAAATAACATCATTTTTAAAGTAAAGCTGGTTGTATTTGGTGAGCAAACAGAAGCAGTAAACTAATCATGACTACCTGTGTAACTCATGTAGTTGTTGTAGGGTGTGTTTTTGTATTGGGTAAGGCCACACGTGTCATTGACTGGATCAGGGTCATGACAAACTTTAGACTTTGGTGTTGGTGCTGTATCAGCACACAGATCTCCCGTCTCCATTGATGCGGTGGTCTCTTGACAGGGGTCATCACATGACTCGCGTTCACTCACA